ACTACAAATGATTTACAATGCTACAAAAATAAAGAACACCTGGGATAATTCTATAATAATTTATGGATGACTAAATGCAAGGAAACAGTTTACTTTGTTAAAAAATATATAAACTCTAGTTACTTTCTTTTTTTTTTTTGAAACAAATTTTATTAATTTTTAAAGACAAACAAAACATAAACCTTGTAGACATTAAACCTCTTTCCCTTGTAAATTTTTACAAGGCAGATAATACATTATTTTATACAGTGTGATTTTAATATATCCCATTTCTACTTAAATATCTTTTAACACTCTCATTTCTTCTCTTTAAATTTAGTCATCCTATTCATATTTCCCTCTGTCTTGTTTGCAATTATTCTCCTCCCGCTTTCCTCCAAGGTTTTATTAAATCTCAGATAAACACACACACAAAACACATAAAGTAAAACTTCTTTTTCAAAAAAGTAGCTTGGCCCCAGATTACCTCTCTTTGTATGGACTTCAATTAAATTCATATTCATCTTATATGCCATTACCTATCTTAATTACCATTCTGTGTCTGCTTTATAACTTCTCCCCGCTTTCTACTCTTCTTAATTCTATTTTGTTTATTATCTTAATTTAAATCATTATATTTCTATCCTTTGTCCATTCTTTTCCAATTGTCTATTTATCTCATTCCCCATAATAAAATAAAAGAATTTCTCCTGAAATCACAAATCAAAGTATGATGCCTTTCCATCGCACCTCTAAATTAACATTTAAGGTAACACCAAGTTCCCTATCTGATTCTGCTTAATACATACTACTTACAAAAAGAAAATAGTAACTCCATAACATAATTAAATATATAATTAAACATTAAATCTCATAACATTCCAATTATCTATTTCAAAAACAAATATTACAATAATATATTCATACCAACATCCACACAATAGTCAATTAAAATCTATATTTAAACTAAGTATTTTAAACCCTTTTAATATTTTATTAAATCTTAAATTCTACCATTATTAAACCTTTAATATTTTAGTCTTTATTCAAGTCTTATAAAATTATAATTTTCTATTTCTAATACAAATACTACAATACTATCTTATGTACCTTGCAGAATCCTTTTAAAACAAAATTATATTACCCTTTGTCCCTGAAAAACAATTTCTTTTTCCCATCTTGTTTCATACCCTTGTGGCCTTTCCCCCCCTTCTTCCTCCCTGTCTTATCCCATCTGGTCTTTTTACCCCCCTTAACTTCCCCTCTCTGTTGTATTTCTCTTTCCTTTTGCTTTCTAGCCTTGTATTAATTTTGCATCTTATTTTTGACTTTCTTAGATATTTTTTTAAGTCTTATATCCTTTTTTCCCCTCTCTTTCTCTTTCCTTTCTTAATCAATGTTGCAATATACAACTGTTACAATGGATGGACGCTGAAGGTTGCAGTGGTCAACCTTGTGGAATGCTGGCTGGGAGGGGCGCTGGCTGGAGAAACGAAAGTTATGGGAGAAGAAAGTAGGAGAAACGAAAGTTATGTGGGAGAAGAAAGTAACTGGGCAGGGCTAAGAGCGGAGGTGATAAGACCCCAGCAATGGTATAGTTTTTGTATTAGCATAATTATGTAGGTTACCTTATAAGGAAAAATTCCTTGTTCCTGCTATGACGCTTGCAAGCAACCTAATAAAAGGAGGTACCTGCCTTTTGTTCAGGGCCTTTTCATCCCGAGTAAACATTGTGTCCGTGTGTTTATTCATTTACCATGAGAGGCCCAGGGCTCTGAACTCAGACCCTGCCCGTCGCCAGGGTGTGGGCAGCAAAAAACCACAATCAACTCTGTGGGTTCGTTAAAGATGGCTTCTTCTTCTTCTTCTTCTTCTTCTTCTTCCATCAGTTGTTGTATTTGCTGATAAGTAGCAAGAGCCATTTCTAAAAAGCAAAAAATTTCTCCCACATCGTCTTTCTTTATTTTGCCATATTCCTCTCTCAGTTCATCAGCAGATAAAGTCATTGTAAATCCTCCCTTTTCTTCTTCTTCTTCTTCTTCTTAAAACAGCCAAAGATATTTCCAAGCTTAAAACAATTCCCAAAGTCCCAAAGTCATCAAACAATCCAAACAAAGCACAAAGTTCTTCCCTTCTTCCTGGGTTAATATCAGTTGCAAAGGGAGAAAAAAAAAAGCCAATCTGTATTTTAAATTCTTATTACAGTAACTTCCAATCTCCAAAATCTTCCAGGCATCTCCTTCAACAAAATCTTAATATAAATTTTCCTTTTGTCCTCTCCCTTCCCATTTATAACAAGAAGCTTTAAATTTTTACCTTTTGTAAAATAGTAGGATTTTCAGTATTCATTTGTTAATTCCATGTGGAAGGAGAGTAAACTTTCACTTTAAACACTTTCACTCGCCGCTTGCAAATCTCTTCTGGAAACAAAGTATCTTTCAAAAAAAAAAAAAAACACCAAATCTTAGATTTCAGGGTATTAAATGTATCTTCTAGTCCCAGTTCAGCCAAAAAAAACTTTCGCTTCAAAACTTTCTCCTTCTTCCTCCAGCACGATCTTGTCCGGTTGCTGGCTTCTTTGTGGCGGCCATTGCTGACCACCGCTGGACCGACTTGAGAAAAGGAGGTTGTACCGGGTGGGGAAGGGGTCTGCGAACACCCCAACCCCCTGTCCGGATCCTCCCTGTCTTCGGTTGCCTCTGCAGGGCAACCTTATCCTCCAGACCCGTCTGGGTCGGAGGAACCAAGAACGGCTAGCGCGGCGGGGATCGCAGAGATCGCGAAACCCCGCCGCCTCCGAAGCCTGGCGAAACCGGAAGCTCAAACTCTAGTTACTTTCTATGAGATATGTGTCATGCAGTATGAGAGTGTCTTTTTAAGAGAAGATGGCTTGATTTTCTTAGTAATATGTAAAATATTTTGTTTAGTAGGTTTTAAGTTTTAGATTTTATTATGGTTTCATGCTAATCTTGAATGCTGCACTGTTTCTTATTAAAAAATACAGTATAGAAACTAATGAATGACTAGGTTCTGTAAGTAAAAAATAATTCCTGTCATTCAGATGTCAAGGCTACAACTTCCTCATCTGTGATTGGTTTACACAAGCTGGTAAGGATAGCATTTGCATTCAGTGACATCTAGAAAATACAGTTTTCCAAATTTATTAATGGAATATAGTTTGCAGAATAAAGAAGATGGAGCACTGCAACAAAATCTTGCATGATTGCATATTTCCCGAGGCTATGGCAGAGATCATGTAAACTTTTAAAATTAGCATTAAAACTAGGAAAACTGACTCTAATTTAAGATTTCAAGTAACGTAGCAAATGTTCTCAACAAATTTTTAAAGTTTTGTTTTTTTAACATATATTTAAAAGGGGATAAAGCCTGATGTAAAATACTCAGGGCCTAAGCTGAATTTCCTGAATAGACCTCCCTGCAGGACTGTCATAATGTACTTTCTCCCACCTAAGTTATCCAGCTGAAACGGTGAATGGCATGTTCTCCTTTTCTCCATGTGTAATAATGCCCTGTGTTTGTATTTGACCAGATCTGTTTCAGAGGATGAGACTCCTCTCATTCTCAGTGATGAAGAAATGAACAAACTGGGAGCCAGGATTGTAAAAGCAGAATTGATGGGAAACAAAGTATGTGATTGATTTTATTAGATTTTTTTTTGTCTTATATTTTAAGATAACTATAATACCACACTTTAAGACTTGTCATTGTATTCATGTTGGAAGCATCAAGGCACTTCTGGGTTAAAAGGATTAGCTGGTGACATTACTGTTGCCCAAGGGTCGCCCAGTTGGGGGTGCCTTTCATGTCCCCGTTATTGAGCCCATCAAAGTGATACCTATTTATCTACTCACATTTGCACTGCTAGAAGGGCAGGACCTGGAGCGAATGACAGGAGCTCAGCCCATCACATATCAGCACTTGGGTCTTGAACTACGAGCTTGCAGACTGTCAACCCAGCGTCCAAACCATGCGAGTCACATCGCTCTACATTTTTAGACTAATTGTTCAATACTGTTCAAATAGTATAGCTCCAAAGTAATAAAAAATTAAATAGGTTTATGAAAATATTCTATAAATACTGTATCTTTAGAAGCACCTTTACCCTTGATTTCATAATGTTTGATTTACTGCTGATAAACATTGAGCAGCTGGAATCAAGAGCTTTGGGTAGTTATAATGACACTTCTGTTTACATAGCATCAAACATTTATTTTGCTTGAAAAATTATTCAGAGAATATTTTAGCATCAAATGCATTGTACGTTTAAAAAAAATTACATTGTGCAATATTTGTTCTGTTTGAAGGATTTAGCTGCAAAACTTCAATCTCAGCTTGATAAGGCACACATGCTAAAGGACAGTGGAGCACAAGCTAAAGCTAGAAAAACTGATGAGGTAAGAGGGTATGCATTATCTTGCATTCATTTTGCATTAGTGCCTTTGGAAACAAAAGATTTAATGACAGGTGTGCAGCACCTAAGGCTGTAACACCGTTAAATATAGTTCCTAGCATTGGCAGAAAATACCTACAAAACAATTTATAGTGTGTGGTAAAACATTAGCCTACGAAGGCAAGCTGTGAAAATACATTGTTCAGTATCAGTGTTAAAATGATGGCATATTTGGTCATTTTAAATAATATAAACATAGAGTTGCTTATCTCTTGTATTTCAGAATGTATATTGTTAGTTTGCCATAAACTTGTATAGAGTCTACATACAAGAATTTTCTCTGATTTCTGTATACATACTGAAAATAATATAGTTATATGATTAATCAAATACATATATGATTATATGATTATACTTATACATACTGTAGTCTTGGGAATTAATTTCCTTTTAAAGGTGAATGGACTTTTTGTTTGCCTTAAGCTTACTTCAAGATTCTGAGACCATGTTTCTACCAAAGATCTTGGTTAGTTTCTCAATAAGGTAAAGGTAAAGGTTCCCGTTGCACATGTGTGCTAGTCGTTTCTGGCTCTAGGGGGCGGTGCTCATCTCAGTTACAAAGCCAAATTGCCAGCGATGTCTGAACACATCTCTGCGGTCATGTGGCCGGCATGACTAAACGCCGAAGGTGCACGGAACGCTGTTACTCAGTAGTTTTAAATAATTACTTACTTCTTTTGAGAAAATAGGGAGCAAGAGCAGTTTTGCAGTTCTCCTGATGTGATTGTTGGTTATATGCAATGGGGATATGGAAGGAAAGTGGCTTCAAGAAGCTATAAAGGGGTGATGTTTTATGTACTTGTTCATAAAAGAACCGGAATTAGGGTTGCTAAGCAAAATTGTTGATTAAAAATCAAATCATTTCAAAAGAAAACAAAAGGAAACAATGAAAATAAAAGGGAACAGTGAAGAATTCCAAAAGGGGCAAAAATAAAAATAATATCCTGACTATGATTCAACGCAAGAAGGCATCCAGTGATGCATTTTAGGGCAAAATTTTTTATCTAACATTATTCCATATATGCTGATGGTGTTTTGCTAGTGGTGATTCCTAAAGAAAGATTTTTCTGGAAATAGCACTTTGCTTTGCGATGTGTCAGCTACCCCCCACCCACCCACCCTAATTTAAAATAACAGTGAGTAAGGTTTATTGTGGAAACCTATTTGTAACAAGGTGTGATTTCAAAGAGGTGGTGATGAGAAATTTGTTAATAACATAATATTTTGAATTTCTATGGAATTTATTCCAGCCATATTTCTTCTCTAGGCAAGATGTTGGGACTTGTACTGACACTAGAGTTTTCTGGATGATTTGATAATGCAGCTGAATATCAAGCTGGTTTCCCACCTATGTTTAAGTAGGACTGTGCCTATGTTAAAGGAATAATTATGTTACGACTAGATAAGGGAATAAATTTACATCGATACAATTGATGTACTCTTTCTGTCAGAACAGGTATTATAAAAAGGCTTCAGATTTTAGTGCTATCATTATGCTGATGGCATCTGGCTTTATTGCTCTTTTTTATTATAGCTGATAAAGCTCTTTAAATCAGAGTTGGTTATGAGTAGTAAATTATAGGAGATGGAAACAAAATAGAGAAGTTCTTGGTCAGTTAATATAGGTAAAGGGATACATATCTCCAATTTAGAGTATATTGTTGGAGTTCATTCTTCCTAAAAAAAAACTAATTTGCAGTCTGAACATATTTTTGTATTTGGTATGATAAGTCTAGATACAGAAATTTCAATCATGGGCAGAGGTTTGCAAACTACAAGAATCGATTTCTCTTATAATGTTAGAATACTTAATAAGACAACAAGAAATCACTTGTAAGCTAAAATAATCTATTTCCTTGACAAATGGAATCCAACCCGGTCTTACATAGAGTAATAGCTTCTGGAATTTAAGATATTGTTATAATGATATGTGAGAAACTCCTTCAGAAATGGGTGAAGGGAGGCTCCCCAGGGAATGGTCAGATAAGAGAGGGCATAGATGCTTAATGGTTGGAGAAACAACCATTATGAAAGGACCCTCCCAAACTTCCCAGTTTTAAAAGAGGATGGTAGGAGATTTGTACTTTGAGACTTGCAAGATTGATGTCAGTATATGTAGACCAGACAGAAACCACAACCAGATGAACTAATTCTACTTTCTTGTAAGGTTACCTTAACAAGAGTCTTGCAAATTTTGGAAATACAAATTTCCCATTGCCTCCCTTACAGCCCGTTATATTTCTCAAGATCTTTCTCACATACCATTTCAGTTGTTATCCTTCAACTCTCAGTCTTCCTCATTAGTGGCAGAACTGGAGTTCCATGGATTGCATATCCTTATTCAAATTTGAATATCATGCTGTTGGTGTTCACATTTAATATTAATTATGCAAACGTTCTGAATGCTTAAATAAAGAAAACTTAAATAGATTAAAAAATGAAGAAATTTTTTTCTTCCAATACATGCCAGAATTCTAATATGAAAACTTCCCTGATGAGGAGTAAGTTAACTCACTTTATAGAATTAGGTAGTTTAATTAAATAAACTACATTGTTCAACAGTGCTGTTCTTCATTTTTATATTAGCATGCAAGTAACAAAAACAGATCTCTTGGCTCCAGTATAATGCCAGACAGTACTTTAATAATTATGTATGAGTTGTAAAGTGGAAATTAACTGAATGAAAGCCTGAAAAGGAAGAGTTTCTGAAAAATTGAAATGGAATGTAAGAAAATCTGTATTTTCACATTTGAATGCATTCTGTATTTGCATTCTTGTTAAAAGCAGAAAGGGACATATTTGGAAATAAATAAGAGCATAGTCACTTTGAAATCTTAAGAAAATTAGTGGATGTATTGTGTCAGTGACAATATCTTTAAGAGATTTTTGTAAGTGTGGTTTGTATGAGAAATTTTGAAGAGTATATTCTTTTTTCTTTTGTATTCTGGTACATACAGAAGCATTTGATATTTATTTAGACTGTAAATGTTTTACTGCTTTAATTAACTACAAAATGCAGTAACTGCAGGGAATGTATGAGGTTTGATGACAGTTTCATAATAATTTCTGCTCGTTTTTCTCTTCTGCTTTTCACATGAAATTAATGGTTCTTTTTCGGGGAAAAGCATTAGTATATTAAGCAAAAAAGAAAAATGGTGCCATTAAATATAATTACTTGAATTCTGGTAATGTGATCTGAGAAGCTAGGTATTTAGGAAAAAGGGTTATGGGTTGATTACCTGCAGCCCAAATTAAAAAAAATAGTCTACCAATATGAATTAATCGTTTACTAATTACTTTGAATCTGATTTTACTCACACCTTCATAATATCAGTGAATGTATTTTTATTTAGTAAATTTATTTAGTTAGAAAACGTATATAACTAATCATCTTAAATACATAACTCTGGGCAGCAAATAATAAACAGTATATATTAAACACCTTTATGCTCTGATTAAGCAAACAAATTGTAGTTAAGTGCTTCAATAAAAGCTGTATACTTAAAAAGCAAAGGATTGGGTGCTTCTGTGCCAATTTCCAGGTTTTAAAACTTGCTAAAATATCACCCTACTATGTTTATCAGTTATATGCATACAATATTCCACACCAATTAGTTAAACTTTAGCAGTTCTACTTTTAGAAGCTTCAAATGCTGTAGATATAATATCAACTATTTTTTTCATTTAAGTCAACAATTACTGCTGTTGAACGTTTTTTTCATATTGGAAAGAAGTGACAGGAACTATTTCAAAGTTAAGCATATTGCAAGGTTCTCAAAGTTGATTTAGGCAGTGCATATTAAATCTACACCCCAAATTGAAAAGTATAATTGTAAGTGTAAATAGAAACACCAGGCAAGAAAGAACAGCAAATGAGAAAGCCATCAAATTTCATGTGTTGCCAAATTTCTCTTTGAGATAAGACATAAGAATTTGAATTTTTATGAATTTTGGTCCCTTCCAGAGTGTTTTTAGGACCATGTATGTACCATGAATATAAGTAAATTGTGATGTACTTCATAAACTATGGCACTTCAAAGAACATATATAGTAATCATTCACTCAAAAGATATGTTAGATTTAGAAATATACATGGGACAGTAGAAGTCAAGGAAAATGGAGGTACAATGATTCAAATCACCTTTAAAATGGTAAGTTTGGGATTTAGTTCTTGGTACCATGGATACCAACAAAAAAGAGAACTTATTTCAGAACAGCAAACCTTAAAAGACCTTTTGCAAACAGCCAGTAAAAAGGTGGTGTTCATTTACTATAAGGATAGATTATGTGCAGTGTAGCAGAAGATGGATTTACTACAAATAATAATGTATGAATGCATTAAAAAATGGAACCAAAACCCTTAGTACAAATATTATTATTTTAATATTGAAGGAAGAAATAAAGAATGGTGAATCTGTGCAAGTCATTTTTTTCAGCGCTTTCATTGACCAACTGTATCTTTAATTTAATCCCTTTAAATCTGATCTGGTTGGTACTCTGTGAATAGGTACCCTGTTTCTCCAACAATACGGCCTCCCCCAATAGGAAGTCCCAGCATGTTTTATAGACACGAAATGAAATTAAGCCCCTCCCCCCAAATTAAGGCCTATATTAAAACATGCGAAATGGGGGGAATGGTGGGGGGGGGCTTGCCGTTAGGAAGTACTTTTGTTGCACACCCAGATATGGTGCTGCCTGCGTTGACCCCGATACGAAGTGCCCCACCAACGCCGAGGTCAACATCCAAGCCGTCACCGCCCGCCCGAAGATGCAAGGGGGGGGGGGAATTAAGTCACCCCCCAAAAGATGGCCTAGCCATTTTTGGGGGGCTCAAAAAAAAATAAGACCCGGCCTTATTATATGAGAAACACGGTATCTCTTTGCGTGGAATTAATTGGTTCATTCAGATCACAGACAGTGAACAGAAACTGCCAAATTATGTGA